CATCTGTGGGAAGGGGGCCTGCTTTCCCTCTTTGCCTCTCTCTTCCCCTCCTGAGTTTCTCTTTCCAGTTTGGTTTCCTGGTACTTTCAGTCAGAGCAGCATTGACTCTGGGCAGCACCAGAGATGGTGGCCTGCAGGCCAGAGAAGTGGAAGGCAATGGTCAGTGGGGCATCTTGAATCTGGGGGTAGGGGCACTCTATGCTGCTGGCCTGATTTCCTGGAGCTACCAGGTATGGCTTGCTTGGGGACGTGGAGGCATGAGCAAGTGGGTCCTGGCACAAGTGTTGGGCAAGAGGCCCCAGACTCCCACCCCCATTTTGCCATGGAAGTGGGAGCAAGAAGGCAAGTGTCTGCTGCCTTACACTTCCCTCCTCCCCTCCTCCTCCTCCCCGGTCTGGCTGAGCCAGCACTTCTTTCCTTTATCTTCTCGAAAAGTACAGGGTGTTCTGTTTCTCCTGTGCATACAGATCAAGGAGCGGATGTTATTTATTTATTTATTTCCCAAAGGTGAGAGAAGGACAGGCGAGGACTGAGGAGATAGAGGGAGTCTTCTTCTTCCTCAGTGGGCATTTTTTTTTTTTTTCATTAAAAAAAAAAAAAGAAAAAGAAGGAAAGAAACAGAAAGAAAATGTCCAAAAGGGAAAGTAAAGGATGACACAAACCAACAAAACAAGTTGCTGCTGTCCCTGTTACCCACCTCCCCTTCCCTTCCCAGGGTTCTTCTCCACCCAGGCTGGAGATAATCCTGTCAGCATTTAGCAGATCACCCAACATAGAGTAGGTGTTCCTGGATGTGGTTCTGTCTTCCATCCTTCAGTTTGGACCCTACCCTGTGTTGGCTCCCTGGACTGATATGGGGACCTCCGGGCAAACTCCTCATGTCTCTATCCTCTGTGGGCTGTAGAGGCTTCTCTAGCTTCTTGGGATGCAAGGGATTGACAGGGTCCACCTGGGACCAGGCCAGTGCAGGGACAGACTGTGGGATTACCTCTGAGGGTAAGGGTACAGGTACCTGCTTCCACCCTGGCACCTTCATGTGTTCATGTCTGTTGAGGTCTTTGAGACCACACTGTGTAGGAAGCTGGGGGTCCTTCTTTGTTTGTCTGAAAGGTTTGCATTTCCCCAAACCCATTCCTGAATCCCGTTCCCAAGACAGGCTGCTCATAAATTAGGTACAGAACTTTACCGATTATTGTCACTTGCAAGGTTTCTGAGAATACAGCCTTGTGATCCCCACATAGGGCCCTCTTTGACTGTCACCATAGTGTGTAGAAGACATGCTGAAAGAAACAGAGGTGCCAGCAGCTAGGAAGTTCATGTCCTGGGCTGGGCAGCAGCAGTCTTTCCGCCTAAACCAGCTTTCCAGGCAGCCTCTGGCTTTCAGAGGTAGGGAGTCTGGCTGGGTGGGGAGGTTCCCAGTTTAATTCCAACTACAACCTGGGCTCCAGGGAGCTTGTAGAGACTGGGTTCCCCCAGTAAAATCTGAGCATCACTGCAGTGTTTTGGGGTATTCTCTGGCAGGGCTCAGGGTAGCGGTTGAACCGGGAAGAGCAGGGTGCTGGCAGACGACCTACCCCCTGGTCCTGGGGAACTGGGCTGTGGGGGCGGGGCAGGCAGCAGCGCCACGTCGTCGCGGGGTGTTCGTCAGCACAGTTGGCACAGGGACCTCCCAAGCAGCCCCAAGCACGCCGCGTGTTTACAAACCTGACGCAACGCCTTCTCCCCTGCATCGCATCCTGGGCTCCAGGCAGCAAACATATGGAGGCGTAGGAATCGCTGACCCTTCTTTCGCTCTCGTGCTGTCTCTGTAGGCAGCCACATCCTCACCTCTAAATTTAGTCCACAGGAAGGACAACTTAGGGGAAGGAGGAGAGGAGAAGGGAGGCAAGGGGAAGATAGGGCTTGAGCCAGCCCTGACCTCCATCTCGACCCTCTTGTCTTTTAAGGAGGCAGAATGGGGTACCCATTGGGTGGAATTTGGGGGAAAGGAAAGAGGAACAGATGGAGATGGGAGGAAGCCAGGCTTGAGCTTTCCCAGCATGGCCTCATCTGGGAAGGCCAGAACTGCTTTGCTTTGAGGGCAGGGAGCCAGTCTGAGGGGACAGATCCGATCTCTAAATGGGGAGACCCTGACTCCGAAAGGCCGAGACCCTACATCTGAAAGGGAAGCTTCTGCCTCTGAGGGGGCTGTGGCCCTCCTTCGACTCTGTCCTGCCTTGTAGGGAGCAGATCTGCACTGAGTCAGGCAGCCTGGGCCTCAGTGAGTGCAGGAGCCCTAGAGGAACCCGGCTGGCTCAGTGGGCTAAGGGTTGGGTGGCTAGTGGAAAGGTTGGCAGTTCGAAACTATCAGGCGCTCTGGGGAGAAAGATGAGGCAGTCTGCTTTTGTAAGCACTATGGAGTAGTTCTCAACCATCCTATAGAGTCACTATGCATTGAAACTGACTGGATGGCAGTGAGATTTTTTCTTTTTTTTGAGAGTGAATGACTCTGGTGGAGGCACGCAGTCATTCCAGCCCAGGCCAGAGCCAGAGGCTAGTCCAGGTGTTGCAGGTGGAATATGTGGGGAGGTGCAAGGAACAGTTTCTCATAGTTCATATCTTTTAAAGAAGACTCCTTTGCTAACCATATAAGAAAAGATATTAGAGGGCCCTGTTCAAGGTGCGATGGAAACCTTAGTGGTCAGATCTTGATAAGTGTGGAGAAGGAAGTAGGAAGTCAGAATGTGGCAGATTTTTTTAAGGAAAGCAGGAATGGATATCTTAATTTTTATTAAAGTGGGGCATACAGCAAATTACACAAATCTTAAATATTCAGACCAGCAAATCGTCTCTATACACCTGTGTAATAATCATCCCATAGATCAAGATAATCTAACATTCCCCACATCACAGAAAGTTCCCTTCTGATCATTTTCAGTGTCTCCCCCCACCCCCCGACCCCTATTGTCCAGAAGTAGTTTCTCATCTGACCTCTTATCACATAATTGTTTTGCCTGTGTGTTTTTGATCGTCATATAAGTGGAGTCATACAGAATGGGCTCTTTTGTCTCTGACTTCTTTTGCTCACTATAGTATCTTTAAGGTATGTCTCTGTAGTTGGGAGGAGCTTGGTGATGTAATGGGTTACCCATTAAGCTGCTAACCTCAAGGTCAGCTGTTATTGTCCACCAGACGCTCTGATGAAGCTTTCTGCTCCTGGAAAGATTTACAACCTGGAAAATCCTGTGCAGGGTTGCTATGAGTCAGAACCGACTTGATGGCTCACAGATGCTACCACCACTCTTTGGGAGTATCAATAGTTCAGTTCTATTTATTGCTGATGAGTATTACAGATGTAGCACATCATATTAATTGATTCTTATGTTGATGGACATTTGGGTTTTTAACCAAACCAAAACCCTGCCATGGAGTCGATTCCAACTCATAGCAAACCTATGTAGGGTTTCCAGGACTGTAAATCTTTATGGGAACAAACAGCCTCATCTTTCTCCTGGGTGGGTTTCAATTGCTGACCTTGAAGTTAGCAGCCTAACCCTTGGCTCCACCAAGGCTCCTGTGGGTTGTTTCCGGTTTGGGTTGTTGTGACCATTCTTTAGCGTGTCTGTTTGGTGGAATAAATCCTACTTCTCTTGGGTGTATTCCTAAGAGTGGGATTGCTGTATCACAGGCGGGGTATGTTCGGCTTTAATTAGACGTGGGTGATAGCTTTTTATATGTTCCCTGCAATCACCCTCCACCCAAATAGGTACCCCTGTTGTTTGATGTTGTTATTGTCACTGAGTCAGTTCTGACTCCTAGCAACCCTATATAGGGTTTCCATGGAGTGGCTGGTGAGTTTGAACCATCAACCTTGTGATTCAAACCAACCTTAAGGTCAAGTGCTTATCCTAAGGCACCACCCCACGACTCCCTGTTGTTAGATACTGGATGTTAATAGATTCTGCAACTGTGCCATTGAAACTTCAGCAAAAGCTGCTGAAATCTAAGCTCTTGTCAGCGAAGGAGCAGGGACAGAATCTGAGTTGAGTGACTCCTCCAAGATCATCATCAGATACCTCCAAATACTCATGGCCACTCTGGGCAGAAAAGGGTAGGCTCCAACTTCCCAGGCATCAGCTCCCCTTGCCTGGCGTCTCTGAGCAAGCTGGCTAAATGTAACTGTCAATTTGATGTCTGGCCTCTGGTACCACGGGTCCTCATGGTCCACTCTTTCCTTGGCTCCTTGCTGCTTTGTGGTGAATGAGGGGCTGGGTGGTCAAAGAAAGCAACCAGAAACCTGCCTGGAATAGCAAAGGCTCATTCAGCACCAGCCTCGTGGCACTTTCTGAGGCGGGGGGGAGTGGTGAGGGTGGAACTATGTCCTGCCCACCAAATTGCCACCTTATTGAGGCTGTGAAGTCCAACAGAAGGCCAGAGGAGAAGACAAGGGGCAACGGTGAGAGAGTGCCAGGGAAGAACCAGGCAGGAAGAGAGTAGCAGAGGGCCCAGTGTTGTATGTGAGTATTCTTGGTTGTATGTGGACACCCTAGGGTTGACATGGGCATCCTGGGTTGTTTATCTTGGGGCTGGTACATTCTGGACTACAGCTGCTGTGCCTGCCGGCTGAGCAGGCACCAAGATCAGGATCTCCTGACTTTGGCCTTCTCCACCATCCCCTCACTGGCTAGCTCTTGCCTTAATTTTGGGGCATACAGCCAGGGAAGTGGCAGTGTCTAGCTGCTAGGTTTGGTGTGGAATTGATGGATTTGTAGACTCCCAGCAGTTCTGCTTCGGTGCCCACGATGCATCTCTCCTACCTTGCATTTCTTTTTTCCTTATTCCCTCTTGCCCACATTCTTTGGAGATGGCTCTGGCCTAGGTTCTTGGGGAATGGAAGAGATGTCCCTCCTTGAGGGCTGAGTGTGATGAAAGTCCAAGTATATCCTGTAGAGCACGTGGGAGGGAGGCTGGAGCCCATGAGCTGGGCCCTCAGCATTCAGTGCCCTGCCTCCCTGCCACAGGTTCCTAGGAGGCGAGTGCGGACGGTATGCAAAGTTGTGAATCCAGTGGCGACAGTGCGGATGACCCTCTCAGTCGTGGCCTGCGGAGAAGGGGACAGCCTCGCGTGGTGGTGATCGGCGCCGGCTTGGCTGGCCTGGCTGCGACCAAAGCGCTTCTGGAGCAGGGCTTCACGGATGTCACTGTGCTCGAGGCTTCCAGCCGCATTGGGGGCCGTGTGCAGAGCGTGAAACTTGGTGAGTGCCACCCACTCCCGCCCTAGCCAACTCCCACCTCCTGTCTCTCAGTCCCTGGCCCTCCTGGAGGCTGAATTCTTTTTAGTTCCTCCCTGTGGGGTAAGTGCTCCATCATACACTTTGTATAGACATTTTCAAGAAGCTCTTTGGCTTCTCAGAGCCTCCGTGTGAGGTGAGAAGAGGGGCTCTGGCCTCTTTTTGAAGAACTCTGGCTTGGTGCTTGACCTAGGGTTCACAGTGCTTAGGATGGAGGGGGCATTCAGATTCAAGCTCTCTTGGCACCAGGTGGGTCTTTTTTTCTATGAGAAGGGGAAATCTATAAAATCCTGTTTGTCATTAACCTTTGAGTGAGAAGTAGTATATTATGACTGAGCACTACCCCTTGGGTAGTGGGAACTCAGCTCAGTGGAGGTGGAAGAGGATTTGGACTTCCTTTTATATGATGTACATTTCTTGGAAATGTCAGAGAAGAGGTTGTATAGTGATGAAGACTATGCAGAAGGCACCCAGATAGGGGCTCAGGGTGGGCAGCTATTGCCTGGGGGACCTAGGGTATGGAGAATTTACCTGAAATACAGCTGAGGCATTTGATCATTGAAAGGCCAAGTGGCAGGGGACCATGAAATGGCATAGTGGACAACATACTGACCTGGAGTGTGTGGGCTGTGTGGACCCTCCAGAGGATTTTGTGATTGTGTCTGTTCCCACACTGGGCAGCAGGGTCTACCAGATACTGTGACCATATGATGGGTGGGGAAGCTAACTCAGGAAGGTAAATGGTTGGGCTTAGAACAAGTAGAGCTTGCAGACACATGCAGACCTGTTCTCTTCTTGCAGAAACTTTAATCACATTCAGTGTCTCCCCTTATGCATTTCTTGGAAGCTGTATGTGATGGTCCACTCATCATCCCCGGGCACAGACAGGAGCACATCTCGTAGTGAAGGTGAAAGCACTTGTGCCCAGCTAGGAAGCCGTAGAACTCTGCACTCTGCTGGACTGGTTATGAGCCTCAGGGAAGGGGGCTCCAGGCATGGTGATGATGGGACAATCAGGGTCTGACATAGAAGCAGACACAAATTAAAAGGGAAGGAAAGACAAAAAGAGATTGCCTAGTTCCTGGGGTATTGTGTACCAGATCACTGTTGCTATATAACAAACCATCTCTAAACATAGTAGATTAAAACAACACTAATTTATTTGCTTACAATTCTGTGTGTCAGAAATTGGGGCAGTGTTTAGACAGTTAGTCCTTTGCTTGTCTCACCTGGGCAGCTGCTGTCATTTAGTGACTTGACCAGGGTTGATTGGTCTAGGATGGCATTACCCACATGTCTAGTGGTTGGTGTTGGTGATTGGCTGGGCATGTCTTTCTAACAGGACAAACCTGGATTTCTGTCCATGGTGCTCACATTCCATAACTGAAACTACAAACCGCTTGAAGCCTAGACTCTGAAGTTCACAAAGTGTCATCTTCAAATCACAGCAAGTCACAAGGCTAGCCCAGATTCATGGGGTGGAGTAATAGACTTCACCTCTTGCAAAGCCATGCTGCAAATGTACATGTCCACAGTGATGGGCAGGATTATTGTAACCATCCTGGCAAAAAATATGCCACACATAATACCTTGAAACGGAGTCCTGGTGTGGTGCTGTGGGATAAGCACTGGACTGCAAGGTTGATTTGAACCACAAGGTTGGTGGTTCACACTCAATCAGCTGCTCCTAGGAAACCCTATACAGGATCGCTATGAGGCGGAACCGACTTCACGATGCCCTTATCTTAAATCAGACTTCCCCCAAAAAAGTTCCAATTTACCGTCTTTTCACTGTTTCAGCTTCCTTGTGAGCTAGGCACAGTTCCTAGATTGGAAGAGGGAACTGTGGCCCAGGCACACAGGTAGTTTGCCTCAGAGTACCTGTGACCTTGGCTGTGGGTGGATGGGGTACTAGAATCTGCTTCTAGGCCTGTCCCATCTTAGTCTGTTGCCCCCCCCTCCCCCCCCCCCCCTAGTCAGATTCTCAGGGTGCTGGCCCCTCTTGCAAAGGATTAGAAAGTTTAGTTTTCCTGGATGTTTGGGTTTTAGACAGCCTTGGGTGGGGAGAACTTCCCTGGACTGAGCTCGGAGGGGGCTACTTTTTGTCTGACAGAGAGAGACCAATGAGGAAGGTAGGCCTGGTGCCTGGGTGTTAATTAGATAAAAGAGGGACTAGAAAAGAAGAGCCTTCTGGGGTGACTCTGAGGCCACTCATAGAGTCATTTAGGGTGGCAGGTATCACAGCTATGAAGCTGAGTTCCATTGTGTGCTATTCATGGCTTCCACTGGGAACTTTAAGTCTTCTGGTTGGCTGCCAGAGGGGAGCCATAATCCCTTTTCTGCCCTGTCGTAGTGCGTGGAAGGATCCTTTTGGAGAAGGAAGGTGAGATCCCTGCCCCTCTAAGGTCCTGTTATTGTCACCCTCAGGACACGCTACCTTTGAGCTGGGAGCCACCTGGATCCATGGCTCCCATGGGAACCCTATCTATCATCTAGCAGAAGCCAACGGCCTCCTGGAAGAGACAACTGATGGGGAGCGCAGCGTGGGCCGCATCAGCCTCTACTCCAAGAATGGCGTGGCCTGCTACCTTACCAACCGCGGCCGCAGGATCCCCAAGGACGTGGTTGAGGAATTCAGCGATTTATACAACGAGGTGAGGGGTGAGCTGGGTGTTGGGGGCTGGGAGCACCCCAGCATTGTTGGAGGAGCCAGGTGATCCTTCTGGGGTATTTTGTGATCCTGGTGGATATCTTGTTCTCTGGGACCTGCATTTGGAAAAACAGGTCAATTTGAGGAAACAATGAAGCTGATGAATAGAGAAGGACTAGGCAAGAGATTACTATTATGATTAAGTATTTCTTCAAAAAGACCTTAGCTATCTTTTGTTAGGTCCTAGGTACTTCGTGGGGGCAGTAGTTGTTGTGTATGTATTTTTCTGGGTACTCTTATAAATAATAATTTTTAAAATGTATTTTCTAGTATATATTGGCATATATTGATTTTTAACTGTCTAGCTAAATATTTTTAATAGTCTATCAATTCTATTGGCATCCTGGTATGGCACTGCAGGATAAGCTATACCAGGATTCCAACAGGTCCTTGCAACTGCTCCTTGGAAACCCTATACAGGGTTGCTATGAGTCAGAAGTGTACTTAATAATAACAAATTAATTGTATTAACTTATATTCAATTTATGAAATTTTGGTATATGATCTTATATGAAAAATGAAAATTTGGTATTTTTTTCTTTCTAATCCTCAGACCAGCATTGGCCAATAGAATTTCTACAGTGATGGAGATGTTCTAGACCTATACTATCCAATATGGTAGCCATTAGCCACATGTGTCTATTAATACTTGAAATGTAGTTAGTGAGACTGAGGAGCCAAATAATTAATTTAAATATAAATTGCTGTAGGTGTCTGGTGCTTACTGTGTTAGCACAGCCTTAGATCATTTATTTTTCTTGCCTTATTGTCTTGGCTAGTATCTACAGTACAGTGTTGAATAGAATTGGTAATGGCACACATCCTTGTCTTATTCAGGTTTTGAAAATTCTTAAAAATATTTTAATATCTTTCAGTGGTGCTGTGAACTTCACTGAACAAGCAAGGTAACATGTGTAGGTCTTGCCTTCTGATAGCTTGTCATTTATAGTGTAATGACCCTTAACTCTAAGTCACTCTATTGGTCCTCAAGCACCTACTGTGCAATTTCTATATCTTAGACATGGGAAAGGAGAAATAACACTTGGGTTAGCCCATGCACTATAGAGGATAGGCAACTGCACTTAAGGGATCTGTCTCACATACCCATACTTTCATAATGTCTCGTGTGTGCACCCACAAGATTTTTTGTCCACATAGTTCAGTGGTGCTTTGTAGTCCCATATACTCAGGGCCACTCAGAGACTGACTAAATGATTAATGAGCAGACATGAACTTGTAGTCGTCAAAGCTGACCTTCCTAGAAATGTCACACCCTGATTCCCAGGTTATTTTAAGCATGGGTACCTTTTGAAAATGACAGTCAGGAGTCCATAACTTATTTTCTTGAAAGTCTATCACCACTTTTAGCTGGTGGCTTTGATTTTTGAAAGAAAAGAATGTGGGTCATGACCAACTGAGGTGGATAGTGTTGGTCATCAAACTGGAGGGTAATGCTTTAGGTCAGATGGAGGAGGCATAATCATGATGGCAAGAGACAGATTTGTGTGTTTGGCTCTTAACGAATGCAAGAGACCATAGTAAAGAGGTGTGCTCTAAGCCCTGCCTGAGGGTAGCGTTATAATAAATATATAGGCTCCAAATCCAATGACTCATTTTAATGCACTTTATTTGTTACAAGAGAAATGAATGTGTTTAATATTGTCTTCTAGAGTGTGAGCTCTAGAACAAGACTAAATTGTTAATTGCCATTGAGTTGGCTCTAGCTCATGGTGACCTTATGTAGAATAGTAAAATGCTGCCAAGACCTGTACTGCCTAGGTGATCATTGGTGTGTTGGAGTCCATTGTTGTGACTGTTGTGTTGGTTTATCTCATTTATGCCAACCCTTTGCTTTACCAAACCTCATGTCCTTTTCTCCTGATTAGTCTTTCCTGATCACCTGTCTAAAGTAAGCAAGCTGGTCTCATTCGCCTTGCTTCTAACGAGTATTCTAGTTTTTTATTTTCTAAAGCTGCCTTCTTTCAATTCCCACTAATTCCATTTCTTAGCTGGCTAAGTGGGCAAGTTATTGAGCCTGTCTGAGCCTCACTTATTTGTAAAACAGATGCAGTTGTACCTACTTCATGGGTTTGTGAGGCCTGATGAAATGTGGAGAGCCTTAGCATTAGCTGTTACCCACCTGTCTCATTTTCCCTTGGTTGCCTTGGGAAAATGCCAGTTAACACAGGACAGGAGACTGTATGTACATGACAAACCCATGTTTAGTGAAGCCTTCATAGTGGTTGACATAAAGACAGAATCACATCGATGGACTAAATTTGGTACTCTAGATGGGCTACCATGTTGCTTATCACCCAAAGGAAAAACACCTAAGGGAGGAGGAGGCAAGTTGAAGGTCCAGTGCTTTGGCAGTGGTACTAGATATGGAATTTGTTGAGGACTCCAGTTAAGGCCAAATGCCCAGCATCTTGTGACTACAGGGAGGGAAAAATGAACAATTTAACTCTTTCTTCTTTCTGCGTTCTACTTCAGAGACATGTTTAATTCATGTTTCTATCTTATATGGCGGCCTTTCCTTTGAGTGGAATGACATGGGGTGGGGGTGCATGTGAAAATCAGTAGGTTATGCCTGCTTCCATAGTTTATGGCCTATGCCAGGGCTGAGTGTTACAAAACAGACATTGTTCTGTGACTGTGTACTGTCTGAATTAAAACTTGCTTTAGGAAGGGAAGCACACCTTTATAACATTATTTAGCAGCTACCACAGATGTTTGGCCAAGATGCAACATGTGCCAGTGTCCCAGGAGGATAGGCAGTGGGTATGGGATCAGGTTGCTTTCTTGCTCACAACCTTTCAAAAGTGTTGTCCAGGGCCTTGGATGAAAAAGTCCAGAGCCCTTGACACAACTCTCTGGTCCTCTGTGTCCTGGCCCCTGCCTGACTTCCCGAAGTCCTCTCTTGTCACTTTCCCTCTCCCTGCTGCCCACTTCAGCAAGATGGAACCATTCCCAGGTCCCTGAAGATATTCTCTGTGTCTCTTCTAGGTCTTTTGAGTATGCTGTTCCCCGTGCCTGAAATACTTTTCCTTTCACTCCCACTACCACTCTGTCTATTTCCTGACTGTCCACAGCTCTGAGTCTTGACTTTCACAGCACATTTTGTATGAGCAGCCCAGTAACACAGTGTCTCCCAAACTTGAGTGAGGCCAGGGTTGCTCACCATCATAGCTGTCTCAGGATGTGTTTGTTGAGTGAATGTTAAACTTTAGATCTGGCCTTTTGGGGATCCCATGCCTGCTTCAGTTCTGGATTACTTCCTTTTGAGATAATTCATTAGGCTGGAAGGCAGAGGTGATAGGACCTGACTATAAGGGACCATTAATCATTTTCGATTGATGAAGTGGGAGAGAGGGCTTGTTGCGGTGGAGCTGTGACCTGGTCACCGTGTCCCCTTAGCACAGTATTGAGAGTGACTCTGGTTCAGCAAGGTCTCAGGCACAGCATACTTGGGACTGTTTCAGTGTCACCACTATTATGTGCATTTTGCTGTTCAATCAAACAGTGCTTACTGCTGGGGCCCTTCAAGTCAGAGATGGAGGCGGGATGCGGGCACAGCAGATGTGTTTTCAGCATCCCGGGTCTCTCTGGCAGGTCTATAACTTGACCCAGGAGTTTTTCCGGCGTGGTAAACCAGTCAATGCGGAGAGTCAGAACAGTGTGGGGGTGTTCACCCGGGAGGAGGTGCGCAACCGCATCAGGGATGATCCTGACGACCCAGAGGCCACCAAGCGCCTGAAGCTCGCCATGATCCAGCAGTACCTGAAGGTATTTTTCCTGTCTAGGAGCATGGTGGAGTTTTTGAGCCAGGGTCGGGGAGGGAGTGCTGCCCTGAGGTCCTGTCCCTCCCCTTGCCCAGCTCTGGTGCTCACCTGGTCTGTCGGTCTCCCCACAGGTGGAGAGCTGTGAGAGTAGCTCACACAGCATGGACGAGGTGTCCCTGAGTGCCTTTGGGGAGTGGACCGAGATCCCTGGTGCCCACCACATCATCCCCTCAGGCTTCATGCGGGTTGTGGAGCTGCTGGCTGAGGGCATCCCTGCCCACGTCATCCAGCTGGGGAAACCTGTCCGTTGTATTCACTGGGACCAGGCCTCGGCCCGCCCCCGGGGACCCGAGATTGAGCCCCGGAGGGAGGGTGACCATAATCACGACCCTGGGGATGGTGACCAACGGGGAGAGGAGCCCCGGGAGGACGGGCGGGATGAGGATGAGCAGTGGCCGGTGCTGGTGGAGTGTGAGGACTGCGAGGTGGTCCCGGCAGACCACGTGATCGTGACCACGTCACTGGGCGTGCTCAAAAGGCAGTACACCAGCTTCTTCCGGCCCGGCCTGCCCGCTGAGAAGGTGGCTGCCATCCACCGCCTGGGGATCGGCACCACTGACAAGATCTTTCTGGAATTCGAGGAGCCCTTCTGGGGCCCTGAGTGCAACAGTCTACAGTTTGTGTGGGAGGATGAGGCCGAGAGCCGCACCCTCACCTACCCGCCCGAGCTCTGGTACCGCAAGATCTGTGGCTTTGATGTCCTCTACCCACCTGAGCGCTACGGCCACGTGCTGAGCGGCTGGATCTGTGGGGAGGAGGCGCTCGTCATGGAAAGGTGCGACGACGAGGCAGTAGCTGAGATCTGCACAGAGATGCTGCGCCAGTTCACAGGTGAGAGCATGCGTCACTGCCTCTTCCGCCTCTGCAGCTCTTGCTGGCGTCCTCTGTCAGAAGAGAGCTCTGATCTATAGGCATTCTCATGGCCAATCTTTGGAAGGGGGTCACTAGGCCATTCTTCCAAGATGCCTCTGGTGGACTCAAACCCTCAACCTTTCCGTGAACAATTGAGTGTGCTAACCATTTGCACTCCCCCTGGGACCCCCATCCTCTGGTAAAAACCACTTGCTGTTGAGTTGAATCAAACACATGGAGATTCCATGTGTGTCTGAGTCGAACAGTGCTCCACAGGGTTTTTAATGGCTGGATTTTTAGAAGTAGATCTCGAGGTAGGTTTGAACTACCAAGCTCTCAGCGCTACCCACTGTCATCAAGTCAATTCCGACTCATAGTGACCTATTGGATAGAGTGTAACTACTGCTTACGGTTTCCAAGAATGTAGATCTTTGTGGGAGCAGACAGCCTCATCTTTCTTTTGCACAGCAGCTGTTGGGTTTGAACTGCTGACTTTGTAGTTAGTAGCCTAACATGTAACCCACAGTGTCACCATGGCTCCTTTTGTGCTACCCTTGTTCTAGTAAAGTATTGTCAAATCAGTTCTGACTCGTAGTGAACCTGTATAGGGTTTCTAAGGAGCACCTGGTGGGTTTGAACAGTAGACTTTGCTGTTAGCAGTTCAGTGCTAATCCTGTGGTACCATGACAGGACTCCCTAGGGACTCTGAATTTCCTATGGCTCTCCCTGCTCTGAGCGGGCATTCCAAACTGATGGTGCAGTGGTTACCAGGAGAGCCAACCATCTGGTGCCACGGCTAAGCCTGCTACTCCTGAATTGCTGAATTGCTCTCTCTGTTTCTGTTTGGAGCTTGAAGCACTCAAAAAGACAGGTGCTGGGTTTATTCTTATTTTTGAAGGCCTGGTGGTAAAACACACACACATACAAAGCCAACATAGACATCAATGCCATTTACCTTTCTCCTACCCAAAGTGCCTTTCTAAGAGTTGGATTTGTGTCTTGCTGTCCATCTACACTATTCCATAAGGAAGGAGCTTTGGGATACAGTGGATTAAGCATTGGGCTGCTAACTGAAAGGTCAGCAGTTCGAACCTACCAGCTGCTCCAAGGAGAGAGATGAGGCTGTCTGCGCCCATGAAGATGAACAGGTTCAGAAACCCTGTGGAGCAGCTCTGCTCTGTCCTTACTGGGTCTTTGTGAGTCAGAATTGACTTGATGGCAGTGAGTTTGGTTGGTTTTGGTATCTCATAAGGGCCTCCCAGGAGCCTGTGAGGTTAGAAGGGGAAATGAAGGCCCAGAGAGATGAGGTTCTTGTTGAGAGCACTGGCAGGTAGGAAACTCAGGCCCCAGCCTCCCTGTACCCCCACTTACTTCCCTCCTGAGCCCTGGGGGCAGGGTGAGGCTGGGAGTGATCACTCAGTGAGGTTTTCTGATGCAGCCACTTACTCTCCTTTCCCTCGGCCCTTCTGACTCCCCAACAGGGAACCCCAATATCCCGAAACCTCGGCGAATACTGCGTTCGGCCTGGGGGAGTAACCCCCACTTCCGAGGCTCCTATTCATATACGCAGGTGGGCTCAAGTGGGGCAGATGTGGAAAAGCTGGCCAAGCCCCTGCCATACACAGAGAGCTCCAAGGCAGCGGTGAGTGTGTGTGGGCTGTGCAGGGTGAGTAGGGGTGTACGAGGGTATGGGTGTGGGTATTGGTACAGGGTGAGTAGGGGGATGTATTAGGATACCGGTGTGAGTACTTCGTAGAGGTGTGTGTGGGGTCACTGCAGGGTGAGTAGGGGTGTACGAAGAGATGACTGGGTACCTCATACAGGGGTATGTTTGGGGATCTGTGCAGGGTGAATAGTGTATGTGGATATGCTTTTGGGGGTTTCATAGGAGTGAGTGTGTGTGGGGGTTGTGCAGAGTGAGTAGGGGTATATAAGGGTGTGGGTGTTTCATAGGGATATGTGTGTGTGGGGGGTCTATACACAGTGAGTAGGGGTGTATGAGGGAATGAGTGGGGGGTGTTTCATAGGGGTGTGAGTGGGTGGGGCAAGTAAGGATGTCTGAGGATATAGGTTTGTGGGTTTATGAGGGTATAGATGTGTATTAGAGTAAGGGTGTATGAGGATACAAGTGTTTCATAGGTGTGTGTGTGTGTGGGTGTATGAGTGTAAGGGTATAGGAGAGTATTGGTATGTATGAGAGTAAGGGTATTTGAGGATATAGGTGTGTTTCCCAGGTGGGTGGATGTATGAGGGGATAGGTGTGTTTCATAGGTTGTGTGTGTGGGTGTATGAGGGTATGGGTGTGAGGATTTAGGTGTGTGTGTATTAGAGTAAGGGTGTATGGAGATATAGGTGTGTATGAGAGTAAGGGTGTACAAGTGTATAGATGTGTTTCATAGTTGTGTAGGTAGGTGTGTATGAGAGTAAGGGTGTATGAGGATATAGGTGTGTTTCATAGGTGTGTGGATTTATGATGGTATAGGGGATTTCATTGGTTTGTCTGTGTGGGTGTGTGAGTAAGGATATAGGGGGTTTCATAGGTTTGTGTGTGGGTGTATGAGGATCTAGGTGTGTGTGTCAGTAAGGGTGTATGAGGGTATCGGAGTGTATGATGAGAATATAGGTGTGTATCATAGCTGTGTGGGTGTATGAGGGTATGAGAGTGAGGTTGCATGAGGGTATAGGTGTGTATGAGAATAAGGGTGAATCAGGATATGGGTGTGTGTGGGTATATATAGTTGTGTATGAGAATAAGGGTATATGTGGCTATAGGTGTGGGTACATGAGGGTATAGGTGTGTGGGTGTATGAGAGTAAGGGTGTATGAGAATATAGGTGTGTTTCATAGGTGTGTGTTGATGGTTGTATGAGTGTAAGGTTGTATGAGTGTAAGTTCATAGGTGTGTGTGTTTGGGTGTATGAGGATATAGATGTGTTTCATAGGTGTGTGGGTGTATGAGAGTATAGGTAGGTATGAGAGTAGGTTATATGAGGATATAGGTTTGTTTCCCAGGTGGATGGGTGTATGAGTGTGTATGAGAGTAAGGGTATATGAAGATTGGTGTGTGTGTATGGGGGAACGGGTGTGTGAAGGTATAGATGTATTTCATAGGTGTCTCTGTGTGGGTGTATGAGGGTATAGGGGTGTATTATGAGCTTATATGTGTGTTTCATAGGTGTGTGGGTGTATGAGGCTATAGGCGTGTATGAGAGTAAGGGTATATGAGCCCATAGGTGTTTCCTAGATGGGTGGGTGTGGGTGTATGAGGGTATAGGGGTGTTTCATAGGTGTGTATGAGAGTAAGGGTGTATGAGGATATTTGTGAGTTTCATAGGTGTGTGGGAGTAAGGGTATATGAGCCTATAGGTGTTTCATAGGTTGTACATGTGGATGTATGAGGGTATAGGTGTATATGAGAGTAAGGATGTATGAGTATATAGGTGTGTTTCCTAGATGTGTTTTTGGGTGTATGAGGATACGGGTATGTTTCATAGGTGTGTGTGTGGGTGGGTGTATGAGGGTATAGGGGTGTATGAGGATATTGGTGTGTTTCATAGGTGGATGTGTGTGGATGTTTGAGGGTATAGGGGTGTATGAGGATATAGGTGAGTTTCATAGTTGTGTAGGGGTGGGTGTATGAGGGTATAGGATTGTTTCCTAGGTAGGTGGGTGCATGATGGTATAAGTGTGTATGAGAGTAAGGGTATATGAGGGTATAGGGGGTTTCATTGGTTTGTCTGTGTGGGTGTATGA